TGATCAAAGAATCTAATTTCTTTTAAGTTAGACGGAGCTGATTTAATTAATATATTCAATACTTGTTTTCCATTTTCTAAAATCTTTTCATCAGTTTCTGTTTCATCCAAATTATATATAATTAATAATAATGATTTCAAATTTTGACATACTTTTAATAATTTTTCAAATTCAATAAAATGTTGCTTTGATGGTGAAAATATAAGAGATAAATATTCAATTGAAGGACAATTTTCATAAATCTTACGAATAAGAATGAGAGAATATTCATTAAAATTTTCATAATAATCATAAGCATAAGAATCACAATAATCTACTAAAATTTTCTTTAAATGTCCACCACTATTTTGAATTATAATAGAATTTTCTTTTAAATCATAATGTTCTATTCTAAAGGTCTCAAGATCACGATAAACGCATTTTTTTAATTGTTCTTCATTAAAATAACTAAAATCATTAATTATCAATGTTTTTAATTTACGAAATTCTGGAAGTACTTTTTGTAACGATCGATCAGTATATAAAAAAAATATTTCTAAATGATTGATAATATCTGCCTTTTTTTCTAATGCAAGAAGAATTTCTTTATAAGGATTTAATCCGGGACCATAAAACTCATGATCATCATGCCATTCAAAATACTTTAAATTCTTTTGGACTTCAATTAATTTAGCAATTCCAAAATTATTATTCTCCGTGTTTATATTATTAACAATGATGATTTTCTGTATTTGTTGACAAATACGTGCTAATCCATAAAAATATGAAGAATTTATTGATGTATCACATTTTAATTCACAGAGAGATTCAAAATGAAACCCGGCTTCCGGAAAATAAAATATTTGATTCTCATTTGATATCATATCCAAATACTTCAATACTGAACATTTCTTAATAAAGAGATTATAAAATTCTTGTTGTAAAAGAAATTGATTATAAGCTAAAGAAGATCCAATAGAAATTATAGTATTTATAGTATTTATATTAATACTTCTACAGAAAGATAAATAATCAAATAAAAGTGATTGATGTGAAACTGTCGGTAATTTTGTTTCTTGTTTCGTTAGGAATTCTTTAATATCATCAGGTAAATAAGAAGCAATAATGTTGAACAAATTATTTTTATTCTTATATTTAATATTGTATCGCCAAGGATTCCTCCATAAAATTGGAATCACAGTTTCACACCAAAGTCTATTGACCATAAGACATGAAAAGAGGGATTTTGAATCATATTGTAATTCTTTAAATAATAAGAAAAGAATATCTTTATTGAGGTTGGACATTCTTTATATAATTTTATACGGTATTGAATTATAATATTTTTGTTTTTTTTTAAAAAAAAAAGAAAAAATAAAGAAAAAGGAAAAAATTTAAAAGAGTATAATGAACCTATTACTGGTTTTATATAATAACGAAAACGGATAACAAATTCCGGTCAAATTGGGATGATTTTGTGCGACCATGATGACGATCGAATATTTATGTTTCACAATCCAAACCAAATGCAAGAATTTTTTTATAATGATATAGAAATTAGTAAAATTTACATGGTATAACGCAAAAGTAAAAACCATTTATTAATTATTTGGACCTGATATATTAATTTCCAACGAAAATTTTTTTTTTTAAAAAAAAAAAATACATTATTTCTATTACTAAGGTGTTATTTATATCTTAGAGTCCATATTTACTACATTTGTATAAGTATCACATCTAAAATCTTTAATTATTCCATTATTTTTATATTTATTAATCAATTCTTTATATTCTTCATCTTCATAAATATAATAATTGGATGTAATTATTGAAAGTGTACGACCTTCCCATTTTTCAAAGAATTCCCCTAAAGCTCCTAAAGAAAATTTACAACCACCACAAAATCTAATTTCTTTTAAATTATTGTTTGATGTTGAATTAATTAATATTTTTAATAATTCTTGTCCATATTTTAAATTTTTTTCTTCATAAGAATAAGTTGAATCTTCATATGTATGATCAAATATAACTAATAATAATAATTTCAAATTTCGACAAACTTTTAATAATTTTTCAATTTCTTCAAAATGCTCATTTGATGGTGAAAATATAAGAGATAAATATTCAATTGAAGGACAATTTTTATGAATATTACGTATAAAAATAAGTGAATCTTCAATAAAGTTATCTACATCCTCTAATAATTCATAAGGTTCTAATAAGATTTTCTTTAATCGTTCTCCACTATTTTCAATTATAATAGAAGCTGCTTTTAAATTATAATGATTTATTTTGAAAATCTCAAGATCACGATATACACACATTTTTAATTGTTGTTCATCTAAGGACCCAAAACTAGTTATCAATGTTTTTAGTTTATGAAATTTTGGAAGTATCTTTTGTGATGAGCGACTAATATAAATAAAGTAAATATTTAAATGAGTAATATTATTTGCATTATTTTCTAATGCAAAAAGAATCTCTCTGTAAGAATCTTGATTTGGTCCAGGAACATATAAATCTTCATTATCTCTCCATTCAAAATACTTTAAATTTTTTTGAACTTCAATTAATTTAGCAATCCCATAATAATTTTTTGTTACGTTAGCAATAATAAGTCTCTGTATATATTGACATAACTGAGCTAATCCATAAAAATATGAAGAATCCGTTGATGTGTCACATTTTAATTCACAAAGTGATTCAAGACGAATCCTAGCTTCTGGAAAATAAAATATTTGATGTTTAATAGATTTCATATCAAAATACTTTAATTCTGGAAATTTCTTCATAAAGAGATTATAAAATTCTTGTTGTAAAAGAAATTGATTATAATCTAAAGGAGATCCAATAGAAGTTATATTACTTATAGTATCTACATTAATACTTCTACAGAAAGATAAATAATCGAACAAAAGTGATCGATATGAAACTAATGGTAATTGAATTCCTTGTCTTGTTAAGAATTCTTTAATATCATCGGATAAATAAGAAGTAATAATTGTAAATAAATAATTTTTTTTACTATAATCAATATCATAACACCAAGGATTCCTCCATAAAATTGGAATCCCAGTTTCACACCAAAGTCTATTTACCATTAAACATGAAAAGAGTGATTTTGAATCATCTTGTACTAATTCTTCAAATATTAAAAAAAGAATATCTTTATTAAGTTTCGACATTTTTTTAATCAAAAATAATCTTTTAATCACTTGGATTAATTTATATAGTAAATACAATTTTTCGTAATATCGAAATATTTAATTATAGAAAAATTTTTTTTTTAAAAAAAAAAAGTTTTAACGAATAAATGAAATACCGGAATAAAATTCCGGATTATTCATTAGTAACGTTTCACAAATAATAAATTTTACGTCATATTTTATTTTGGCAAAATTTTTTGTAATTTACCGAAATTATCCTTGTGATTTTTGATCAACTTGCATCATTTACATCATTTACATGCATACTGTATCACATGAAACTGCGGTCGAGAATTTTTTATATTAGCAATATTAATGTATGTACGGTATATATATTGTAACAAATCATGTAAAAAAAAAAATAAATTTATAACTCTAAAAAAAATTTTTCAGAAAAATGGTCACGTGCCTGAATTTTTTCGGATAAAAAATCATTTATCAGAGTTTTTTTTCAGAATATTTTTATAAGTCAAAAGATTAACGTCCCTTATAAAAAATTTTATCCATTATTTCTGTAAAAAACTCCGTAAAAATAAGCCTTTCATTGATCCATTCACGGAAAATGTAAATAATTCGATAAATTCCGTGATATAAGGTTATTAATTCCGGAAATATGAACCTTTTACGGAAAAATGATGGAATATAAAAAACGGACAGACTTTTTTATTACAGGGAAGGACATATTTAAAGCTTAAAAAAAAAATAAATTATGAAACGATCAATCAATTTTATAAATAGAACCAGACATAGAAATTATAGACATTCAAAAATTTAATTAATTAGTGTTAGCGTTATTTAATTAAGTTAAATCGATTTAGTTTTTCTTTTTCATTCTGTAAAATCTAGTTTATTGACTTGAACCAGGCCGAGCCGAAAAGTTTGAGTTTAAATGCTTGTGTTAGCCAATGATACTTTAATGACTACAAATTTCGATAATTTTTCAATTGCTGTAAAATGCTTTTTTGATTATGAAAATATAAGAGACAAATATTCAATCGAAAAAACAAATTTATATGAATATTAAATAAGAGAATCTTATGGAATTATTTGAGTCCTAATAAAATTTTCTTTAGATGTCATCCAAAATTGGGCATTGAACTTCTCAAAACTCTGCCAATACATCGGCTTTGATTTCCACCTTATAAGAATCTTTATTATCCGGATCTATTGTTTCCATCTCACGTTGGAAGTTTTTGTAAAAATACTCTAAAGTTCTTACGTGTTCTCCATCCTTATTTTCGTGTCAGTATTGGTGACGTTGGAGTTTGACATATTTGTTGTCAAATAGTTTCATATCCTTACCAATCTCAATTGCGTGATCCATATTATAATGGGAGCCGAATTTGTTTATATTTAGATTCTGTGATATATTCCCTCAAAGGTCCTTCGATTGTTCCAGCCCAGATGGGGATTGGATGATCTTCTCGATTACCGTTATTATGGACTTTAAATCGCTCTACAATCCCATTCCGTCCGTCGCTACCTACAAAAAGAAACTGTCCATAGATACTCAAGTAAACCATTGTAAGACACTTACCAGCGGCGGGCACTTGTACGATGGCGTGAATGTACTCATCCACAAGCGGTTGATCCAAAAAAAGTTTCTTAACAAAGAGGGTGGGTATCAATACCCTGCCTACAAAGAATTTTTTCAATATTATTTTCGGTATTCCAAATATACTGCAATATAAGTAAGGGGAGTAACTTAAAGTAATTTACGTTCCATACCTTTTTAAGGAAAGTAGTAACATAGGCAAAATGTGTGACATTACGCTACTGTAAATAATATTGTACTGCGCCAAAGATATATGTATAATGTATATAAGCCATGTATTATGTAACACTGCAAAAAATATTTTTCCACATTTATCAAAAACAGGTAATAAAAAAGCAGAAAAAAAAAAAAGAATAACAGCAATGTCGCAGTTTACAGAATTTTACAGTAAAGTGTGTGTTGCTGGAAGCGTAAAATTTGTCATCGACGAAGCAAGTAAAGAAGAAATTAGCTTGTCAGAAAGTGACCATTTTTCTCGCAACCTAGCAACGATATTAGCAAGAGATAGTGAAGTGGTAGCGGTTAACTTGAAAATTTTACCCAACAAGTGTAGAATTTACATTTCAAAGAACAGTAGATGGCTTGATGGAGATGTTAAATATATCGACAAAATTAAAGGACTCATGACAAATTTGTCTAAAGATGCTCCCATGAAATTCGTACAAGCAACTGAAAGAGAGGATGTGCCTTATTTAATTCTTAATGTATTTGAGTACTGTTCTGAGAAGTTAAGACGTAGATTGGACAAACTTAAGAAAGATATAAGGAATAATAAAGATGAATCATATACTAAATCTTTCCTAGAATTCCTAGAAGCTTCTGAGATTAATGTTGGTAATCTAGATTGGATTGATGAATACGAAATGGCCATGACTTGTTGCGAGTATTATAAAAAAAATAAAAACGACGAAAATTATCCGCAAAGATTCTTAGGACACATCAAAAAAGTGGGATCCTATTCTGCATCTGTGATGGATATTGTTAATTGTGCACGTAAAGGAAAGTATAAAACATCATTTTCTAATACAGACTTGCATTTATTGGATCCTATTCATGTCGATCAACCCATATCTCCATGGAATGATATTATCAAAGAGTTTATTCCTAATCAAAAGAATCTTGAAGATTTCAAGAAAAATTGTTTAAAAAATTATGAAACAAGGAGGAGAATAAACAAGATATATGGTGGCACAGGTAGACAATTGGATCATGAAACAACTAATCACATGTATTTACATGCAGAGTTGAACATATTGACCAACACTGACAAATTAAGCAAGAAACATAATGATGAGGTATTACCTCATCAGTGAGTGTTGTACTAAAATGATACACGCAAGGAATAAATACAAAAAACTCGGATCTCTACCCATGATACATGAAGTTATTATGTTACTACGTCTATCCGCCTATTTAGATTACTCAATGACTTTATCCTTCAATTTCCTCTACATTTTTCCGCATCTGTTATTACCCCATATATTGCTTTGTGTTTGCGAGATAGTGAAGATAATCTGAATGGCGACCATGCAAAACTTCATCATTTTTGGACAGTAGCTTGATCAAATGTTACAGTCTTCATGAAGCATGGATGAATGTTTGATAACACTCCAAATAAAAAAAATCACATGCGCGTGAACAATATTCACGCTGATCACTTTTGCTAAGAAATTTCCGAGACATGTCCTGGAAAAATGTCGAGAAAAAATTTTTTTATTAATACACGCAAAAAGTACGACACATCTATCCTAATTATCTATTTTTACCCGCTTTCCATCAACCAATGATGATTTCTGTTGATCAAAAACCCACTTGATTTGCCCAAATAATTTCTCGATAGGTCCAACTAGGTTATTGCGGGATATACAATGATGGGTTAATAGGTAGAGGTGATTTTTTAAAGATCCCAAGATCACGATAGAAATTGTTATTCATCATAAAATCCAAAACTTGTTACAGTATCAATGTTATTAGTTTATGAAATTTTTAGAGTACCTTTTTCTAATCAATATAAAGTAAAATTTAAATGTGGAAATAATATTTAATACGAAAAGAACTCTCTTTGTAAGAATTTGGAACTGGTCCAAGAACATATATATATTTATATCATGGTCCATTCATCAGAGTACTTAAATTTTTCTGATGTTGACATAGATGTGCCGATCCATAAAAAATATGAAGAATATATTGATGTGTCGCATTTTAAGTCACAAAATCATTCAAAACGAATCCTAGTTCCTGAAAAATAAAAATTTTATGTTTAATAGATTTCATATCCGAATTCCGAATACTTTAACTCTGGAAATTTCTTAATAAAGAAACTACAAAAATGATTCCAATAGAAGTTATAGTTGCTTCGCACCGGGATCAATGAGTTTGTTTAAATAGTAAATTTAGTATTATAATGTAATACTAAGTAAATTAAAGATTTTTTAGGAATTTAATATGGTAATAATTAGTTAACAAAAAATAATAAAATAATATGTATTAAATTATATTTATAATATTAGACTGATATAAATTATATTTACAATAATGTAGATTATATTAATGATTTGACGTTTGAGTGTAGAATGAAATTCGGATTAATTAAGGAAGATTATAACTAATTTTCACCTTACATGCACACCCTATTAATTTTATTGGCTAATTAATGTGCTATTTTTTTTTAAACGTACTCGGATAATCTTTTTTTCTTTAGGTCCTTTCACTTCTTTGCACGGCACTCAAGATACGTTTTCTTTCTTTTTTCATTTTTGCTTCTTGCATTTTGTTTCCTACTAACTTTATTTCGTTTTTTTAGGTCCTTTGGCTCTTTCGATTTTGCAATTAAGATATGACCAGCACTATATGGTCGTTTCTTCTTCTTAGTTATTTTTTATTCCATTCTAAATATTTCGTTTCTTACATTTTGTATTTCATGTATTTCATTCTTTTTAGGTCTTTCGGTTATTCTCTGCAACTACTAAGGTATGTTTTTTTATTTTATTGTTATTGTTTATTTAATACATGTAATTTCCGTTCCCTACTAACTTTATTTCTTCTTTTATTTTATGGGTTTGGTTTTTACTTGGTCCCCTGTTATCTCATTTTCGTCTCTTCTCCATTTTTTGTTTTCTTTTTGTCTCTTCATTTCTTTTGCTTTTTTTATTCTTCTCTTCCTTCATTTTTTCCGTTGTTTTATATTTCCTCTTCGTTCCCTTTGTATTTTTCATTCCTTTACACTACCCTTCGTTCCTTTCATTTTTATTCCATTTCCACTTGATCTTTTTCGTTCCTTTTGTTTCTTTCACTCCCCCTTTACTCCATTTCGTTCCTCCCTCACTCCCCCTTCGTTTCTCTTATTCTCTTTTACTCTCCCTATTTTTTCATTCACCCTCATTTTTTTTGATTAATTTTTTAGAAGTATTTTCAAAAATCTTTAATATTATGAAAATACTACAAATATTTTTATAAATTTTATTAATTATTTCTTATTTTATATTACGTCAATCTTAAACTTATAACCAACTTAGGAAAAATATTTGAGACCATCATTTGACACGTCTCAATAATCAATAATTAATGCAATTAGTCTGCTAACGGATTTATATCATATATTATATAATAAATTAATTAATAACTATGTATTAGAATCTATTCATTTCATTTATTGTTATTCTTTTGGTACTCATTTTACTCGATAAATCATTAATTTAACTAAAACCATTTGAATTAAAATCTTTATTTAAAGATCTGATTATTTAGAGAATTTTGGATATGGATTTGGTTATAATAATCTATTATTAAATCAAACAATTTCTTCAATTAATTAATTATAAAATATGTAAAAATATCAATTTTTCTTTTTTTGATTTTTATGAATTAAACTATTTATTCCATCGCTCAATTTAATTGAAAAAAATCTTACTCATCTTTCTACCAACATCAGTCAATTTTCCTATATGTTATATTGATTTTTTTTTTAAAAAAAAATAATAATTTTGTTAATATATTTAATATAATATTCATTTTTTATTTAATAATAAAAAAAAAATTGAAAGAAAAAGAAAAAAAAATTTAAAAAATTTCGGTTGAAAAAAAAAACTGAACTGAAAGAAAAGGGAGAAAAAATTTTAGACAAAAAAATTAATAATCAAAAAAAAAAAATTCCTATTAAGGTGTTACACAATTCAAATTATTTATAAGGAGACTAATCCAAACGTGAAACGTCAGACAAATTTTTTTAGTTATATAGATTAATACTACTACAAAAGATAATTATTAATTAATCATGATGGTAATTGGATTCCTTGTCTTGTTAGGAATTCTTTAATATCAATAGATAAATAGAAAGCAATAGTGTTGAACAAATAATCTTTATTATGGTAATTAATATTATAACACCAAAGGATTTTTCCATAAAATTGGAATTACAGTTTCACATCAAAGTTTATTGACCATTAAAAATGAAAAGAGTTTTAATTCTTCAAATATTAAGAAAAGAATATCTTTAATTGGAATAAGGCAATTAAACCCTAATTTATATAATAAAATAAATTAAATTAAAAAGCAAATAAACCTAATAATCTAGAATATTCATTTTGTTTAATTTTCTGTATTAAAATATTGAAATCAAATCTATTTACAAAGTACTCAAATTTTATTAGTAATTTTTTTTTTTATTTTTATTAAACTGAAATTTATTATTTTTTTTTTTTAAAAAAAACGAAAAAAATATATATATATATATTTAAAGCTTATTATTCCTTTGAAGATAAAACAATAAACAATACAAAATTAATTATTTGATGCCACAAGTTAATATGTAGTGATTAAAGATGTTATTCATATCTCTATATTCATTATATCCATATGAGATTCACCTCTAAAATCTTTGATTACTCCATTATTTTTATATTTATTAATCAATTTTTTATAATCCTCTTCTTCATAAATACTATTATATTGCAAATTATAACTGGATATAAGTATGGAAAGTGTACAACCTTCCCATTTTCTTAAAAATTCCTCCAAGGCTTCTAAAGAGAATTTAAAATCACCATAAAATCTAATTTCTTTAATGTTAGATGGTGCTGAACTAATTAATATTTTTAATAAAATTTCTCCATACATTAAAGCTTTTTCAATATATATTGGTTCTTCATATACTTGATCAAATATAACTAATAATAACAACTTCAAATTTTGACAACCTTTTAGTAATTCTTCAATTTCAGCGAAATACTCCTTTGATGGTGAAAATACAAGAGACAAACATTCAATTGAAGGACAATTCTTACGAATACTACTTATAAAAACAAGAGAATCTTCAATGACATTATCATCAAATTCAAAAGGCTCTAATAAAATCTTTTTTATATGTCCTCCACTATTTTCAATTATAATAGAAGCTGATTCTAAATTGTAATGTTCTATTTTAAGGATCTCAAGATCATGAAACACACACGTTTTTAATTGTTGTTCACTGAAATTATAAAATCTAGTTGCCAATGTTTTTAGTTTATGAAGTTTTGGGAGTATCCTTGGCAAAATGCAATCAATATTATACATAAAATATAATATTAAATGGTTGATAACATTTGCATTTTTTTCTAATGCAAAAAGAATCTCTTTGTGAGAATCTCGATCTGGTCCAGTAATATATAAAGCATCATCATCTCTCCATTCAAAATACTTTAAATTTTTCTGAACTCCAATTAATTCAGCAATCCCGTGATAGGGATAATTATTTGTTGCGTTAGTAATAATGAGTCTCTGTATATAATGACATAGCTGAGCTAATCCATAAAAATATGAAGAATTTGTTAATGTGTCACATTTTAATTCACAAAGTGATTCAAGACGAATCCTAGCTTCTGGAAAATAAAATATTTGATGTCTAATAGATTTCATATCCAAATACTTTAACTCTGGAAATTTCTTCATAAAGAGATTGTAAAATTCTTGTTGTAAAAGAAATTGATCATAATCTAAAGGAGAACCAATAGAAGTTATAATGCCTATAGTATTTACATTAATACTTCTACAGAAAGATAAATAATTAAACAAAAGTGATTGATATGAAACTAATGATAATTGAATTCCTTGTCTTGTTAGGAATTCTTTAATATCATCGGATAAATAGGAAGTAATAATTGTAAATAAATAATTTTTATTACTATAATTAATATCATAACACCAAGGATTTCTCCATAAAATTGGAATGACAGTTTCACACCAAAGTCTATTTACCATTAGACATGAAAAGAGAGATTTTGAATCATCTTGTACTAATTCTTCAGATATTAAAAAAAGAATATCTTTATTAAGTTTTGACATTCTTTAACAAAATAATTTTAATCACTGGTTTATTATAGTAAATATCCTTAAATACAATTTTTCGTAATATTGAAAATTTTTTAGGAAGTTTTAACCATGAATAATGAAATACCGGAATAAAATTCACAAGTAACGTTTCACAAGTAATAAATATTGCGTCATATTTGATTTTGGCAAAATTTTTTAATTTACCGAATTTATCCTAGTGCTTTTGATCAACTCATTGATATGCATACTGTATTACTGTATCACATGATACTGCGGTCGTAATTTTTTTTAATTTAATTTATTAGCAATTTATTAATGTTAGGAACCATATGTACGATAAATTATGCAAAAAAAATAAAAGAAAAGTATAAAATATGAGAGATAGTTTTAACTAGGGATGCTAAAAGTTTTGTTATAACCGATCATAACCGGTTTTTATCGGTTCAGTTATCAGTTCGGTTTCAGTCCAAGACCGACTGGCCTTTTCATTTCAGCTTTCAATTGACAGATATCATGATATTTGACCGAAATATTATAATAATATTTTGTTAGAATAAGTATTCCTGCAAGGATTCCTCCATAAAATTGGAATCACAGTTTCACACCAAAGTCTATTAACCATTAGACATGAAAAGAGAGATTTTGAATCATCTTGAAATTCTTCGAATATTAAAAAAAGAATATCTTTATTGAGTTTCGGCATTCTTTATCAAAAAATAGTGAAAACTGCTTTAACATAAATCTTTTAATTGAATATATTTTTAAGAGATTTTAAGTATAATTTTACAAATTTTGAAATTTATATCTATATCTATTTTTTTTTCCCCGGACAAAATAAATTGGATCTGTGTGACCATCATAATGATTCAATAATGTTTCACATAGCAAAACAAACATTACGTCAAATGATAGGATCAAATTAGGACCCCGAGCTATATATATAGAGGTAAGGTGCAGCCAAAAAAAATTTACTAGTAGCTCTACGCATTTTTTCAGGGCCGGAATTATGATAATGCCAGTCAGAGTCTAAAAAAGGAAATAAATTCCGGCCGGAAATATCTATAAAAGGAAAGATCTACATGATTATTTTGGTCAATTCTATGCAAACCCTTACCCTACCTTTTTATGTATAACTCGGGGTCCTATCAAACTAGCTTATTATTGTGTTTCTAATAAAATATATTTAATTCTAAATTTTTGACTTTAGTAGGAATCGAATTTCTCTTAAATTGTTGGTGCCGTCAGACATGACTAATAATGACTAAATTCGAGAAAGTCTTGAAATTTTTTAAATTCAGTGGAATGCATTGAAACATAAGGTTTTGACTTAACTGTACTTTAGATTACTTCCGCTATTTAAATCGTATTAGAAACTGCGCTTAACAAAAAAATAACTTATCAGTTATGTCTCAAGATCATGAAGGATTAGCGAGATTAATCAATTCTTCGTAAAAAATCAAAATCGTCAATTAGTTAATGTTTTTAATTTTTTAAATTTTGGTAGTTTTTTGTTTTTTTTTCTAATCAAGAAGGGTTTCTCTAATGAGTTTATACATTTTTAATTTGATACATTTTTGTACAAACAATTGTGAAAATTTTTATTATAAGTTTAATTTATATTATTAATTATAATACCTTGAAACGTAAGAAAAAGTTATGAACATCTCATAATGTTATTATTTGAAAATTATTAATTTGAAAAATATAAAATTCTTTTACCAGTAACATTAATATTTGTTAAATTAGAACAATTGCTAATATTTAGTTCGGTTAAATTTACATTATTTGAACAATTAAGTTTTCTTAAATTTGGACATTCATTAATGAAAATTATATTTACGCACTATGAGTGAGTATTACGTATCCCGTGCACATAAAATTTATTTTTATTTTAATTTTTACGATTGTGAAAGTGTGAAACACATACTACAATAGTACACACTATATAATTACATCTAAAATAGTAAAAACAGAGATTAAGACTAACTTCTAGCAAATTACATTTTTAAAATACAGTGCTGAAAATTATGATATTTTCTTATTTATAGTACTGCGGGAAAAAAATAAGGAAAAAAAACAATATATAATATATACAGTATATTATACAAGACAAAATAGTTATTGTAAGATTAAATATTAATTATTTAAATTAGAGACATGATAATTTTCATAAATTAAATAGAAATATTATTAAAATGTAAATAAGATCAAATTATTTTTTAAGCGAAGTACGGCGCTGAAGAAGTTTTATTTTGTTCTACATCTACAAGAAGTATTAGTTTTTTTATTAAGAATTATATTGATATAAATTTACCTTTTTCCTTTACGTCATCTTGCTTGTTCGTCATTATTGTTGTTATTTGGCATATTATTTTCACCTTTTAGACAAACAAAAATAAATTGGTGGATGATATGCCGTTAAATTTGGTGATTATTACGTATTACATAATAATAAATTACGCGAATTTACCTTGAGAGTGTACGATGGATTTTTTCCTGATATTGAGAAAGTAGGTATCAAACGGTTGCAAGGTTTATTATTAAGTGAATTAATTACCCCACATTGTTTATCCAAATCAATTCCTAAATTGAAAGAAAAAATATTAGGTTAAAATTTTCAAATTAAAATTTTAAAAGATAATACTTTACTATACTTTACTTCCCACAACTTTTATTACGGCTTTTGACTTTCTTCTTTTCTTTTCCCTTTTTAACCTTTTGTTTTTTCTCAGGGAGTGTTTCAGCCACTGTTGGAGAATTAGGTCTTTTTCTAAAATATTTCGAAAAAGAATAAAAAAATATACATTGTATAATTAATTTCACGCAATTAGAAAATTTAATTTAAATGATAATAAACTTACGAGTTTTTTCTCCCTTGTTCTCAGAGACTAATTAAAAAAGAAAAATTTAAAGATTTAAACAATATACTTTGTAATCTTGAATCAACTTCGGACTTTCCTTCGGCATCCATTTTATTCTATATAATATATTATGTATTTGATTTACTATATTAACGAAATTGATAAAAAAAATCTGTTAAAAATTCTTACTTTACTGATGATTTTATATGTTCTATCGAAGATAATAATAAAAATAAATGAAAAAAAATTCCTAAAAAGATACGGAAAATATTTTACTTGTTCAATACAGATATGAGACTTTAAATATGATTAGTGTAAAAATGAATTTCATTTCATTCAATTTTCGATAATTGATTTTTTTTGAAACATATAAAATTAAAAATCTAAACTAGTTTAGTATTTATTAATGAAGAATTATTTCAATGAAAACGTTATAGATCAAAATATGCAAAACGTGACCAAACTATACGCAGTATTTTGGAATTCGTCATCGGTCTATTTTTGTAATTTTTAAGTCCCGATAAGGAATACATATGAATCTGACTGACACGTCAATTTCGTGTACACGTACTAACACGTAATATAGTCTCATGGTTATAATATGAGTCATCGTTTGTAGTTAAAAAACATCCAAAAATAATACTGATAAATTCCTCTTTCGCTTATCTCCCTTCTCTCCTCATATATTTTATTATCTCCCTCCCTCCTCCCTTCTCTCCTCGAATATTTTATTATAACTTTACGTTTAACTGTTTACACGATATGTTTAAGGTAATTGTTTGGGTATTTTTGCTGGAGCAGCATGATGTTATGCGTTGGGTGGGAGCTAGGGATGGGGGTTAATTAACCACGGTTAATTAACCATGGTTAATTAACCGTTAATTTTGTTAGTTATGATTGATTTAAAATGGTTAATTAACCGTTATTTATAATTAGCCAATCAAAATGCAGAATTTAAATCATGTGATTAAATGATAATCCATTATTTTGTTACACAATTAAATATTAATTAATATAAATATTGATTAAATCTATGATCTACATATTGCATGATCTTTTTTTTAAGATAAATTTTTTTTAAAAAAACACTTTTTTTTTGCAAATTTATTGTTCATTATCATGGTAAAAAAAAAGGGAACTGTTTGGAAACATTGGACAATAATTACTGAAGCAGAAAGTAATGAAGAAAGTAGTAGGTCTAAGAAAAAAACACATCCTTCTGTACGTTGTAATTATTGTTCTAAAGTTTTTGAACAAGGTACAGCTAAAAGAATGCAAGTTCATCTTAATGATAGTTGTCCTAGAGC